AATATTCATATGTGTAAGCTATGTTACTGTAAAGTTTCATCAAAATCGGTTCAGTATTTTTTTCGTGAAATAGTAACGAACGTCCATGTCGTGAAGCCATTAAATATAAGAAGATTTTAGTTACATTTTATCTGTAAAATAGTCGTGTACAATTTTTGTTTATTAAATTGATATAAATATAGTGTTGAATTAACTTACAAACTTTCGCTTTTATAATATTATTAAGAATAAGATTTTCTTCAATAGAAATATATTAAATTTATGCGATTGCATTCTGGTAATTCAGTGATAATTGATTTTATTATATAATTTGATATGAATCAAGGATGTCGAATATACATATTAGTTGTGATAATTGTATCAACTAATTATTATTTGATATAATTATCAGAACCAATATATTCGACAAGACATGATTGTTATTTTGAGCGGCAAGTCATTGTGTTGTTCGTGTACCTATGTAAACGATTATTACTATTTAGCATCAGATGGACGTCAGCTTGTTTAATGATTAAGTTACATAAAAATACTAGTTGCGAGTTTTATTAGATAGCCGAACAGGAAGTTCTGAATTCGGTATATTTTGTAGCGTGTTTTTTCTTTGTCGTCCAGGGCGTCCACGCCCTATACAAGGATTATTTAAAAGAGCAACACACAAGTTTCTTGCTCGTTCTTCTTGTGATGAGACAGCTTTCCAAACGAGCGGTACATAAAAAAAATGTTATGACTGATGAAGTGCTTAAATTAAGTTTATTGAAATAAATGATTTTCTATTCTATTCTTGTTTACAAATTTAACCAGTGCCCGATTAAGTCAATGTTAAAAAAATCTGCGTTATGGTATGGTGTTATTTATACTACCTAATATTGCATAGTTATACTACAGTATAAATGCTGAGTGGAAGGCACATTCAGCGTTACCAGTATGTTTTAGCTTTTAAGTTAGGTATATTACATATAAATAAAATTGGAGTCCCTGTTTGTAATATTGAAATAACTGTTTTATATTATCAAGTTTTGTCTGTCTGTCTGTTGGTTTCGGCTAATCTCTGAAATGGCTGGACCGATTTTGACGGGACTTTTATTGGCAGGTAGCTGATGTAATAAGGAGTAACTCCTATTGAAATGAATAAATAAATAAACAAATAAATAAAATATTGCAAATCCCTTCCTCTACAATAGAACTGTTACAAAAAGCCGTCATTCTAAACACAAAAATTTTTCTCGTCGTCACTTTCATCATCTCATGTATCTTTTAAGCTCATCCTTGATACAAACAATCATACTCATGAATACAAATGTTTGTGCTGTGCGAGGAATCGAACCCGCGACCATCGAAAGAATGTGTGCTAAACCACTAGACCACCGAGGCCGTCAAACATTAGTCATCATGTAGTTTAAAATGTGTCCACCACGCGGATGTTTTTATATTGTTGTTTATTATTTTTTTACTAATAATTACAGATATAACTTTTATGTACCATTGTTATGTCACAAAATGGAGTTGTCTAATAGTACAGAGTTTATAATTAGCTAGAATCACTAGTATATATATAGATGTTTACTAATATTATAAATGTGAAAGTAACTCTGTCTGTCTGTTTGTCGCGCTTTCCCGTCATAACTCCTGAACCGTTTTAAATGAAACTTGGTAGACAGATAGTCTAGACTCCGAAAAGAATATAGACTACTTTTTAATACAAAAAAGGGTAGTATAGGGTTAAAAGGGGAGATGAAAGGTAGTATGGAAGTATCGTCATTTTAAAATCTAGAAGCTAGAAATTTTTTTTTAGGTTAATCAAATTTGACATAAAAAGTCTTTAAAAATTTTATCCTTAAACAAAGAAATAAATGTTTGTAGGAAAATTCGTCAGTTTTGAAGCTAGAAGGATGAAACTTCTTTTTTTTTTAGATTTTTGGGTTAAAATTTAAATTATTAAACATTTTTTGTTTATTTTGTCAATGTCACTATTTCACGCGCACGAAGTCGCGGGCACAGCTAGTGCATAAATATATATCATTATTACATAGTATGAAATAAAGTCGCTGTCGCTGTTTGTCCCTACGTATTTTTAAATATTTAAAACTACGCAACGAATTTTTTTAATACCTAGGTACATAGAGTGATTCTAGAGGACTGATTCTTATATATACTATATGTATATAATACATACCGGGGCGAGTAGTTAGTATATATATAAATCACATATGAGTTGTTGGGACAAATACATGGTCTAAAGTAAAGTATCAAATGTGAAAGCTTTTTTCATTTAATGTTAGACATACACACCTATATAAATACCTATACATTGTAAATAAACTGGCTTTAAAAAAAAATAAAATTCAATTGAGTTTCTTGCCAGTACTTCTCAATTGGATCTATATAACGAACTGGACGGTAGGGAAAAAAATATAATGTAAAAACTTGACGTTCATGAGCGGCTAAAATGTCCTACATGAATAAATGATTTTTTAATTTGAATTTATTATCTATCTATGTTATGCATAGAAATCTAGCTATTACTAAAAAAACATATAACAATTATAGAAGGGCAATGATAATGTATTTATTAATTAACTCTTCTAGTGCACTAGTACCAGAAGTAAATTATAAATTACAGTATTAAGGTCCAAAAGGCGGTCTTATCGTATACGCAAAAGATAAAGATAATCTGCGGTTTATAAGAAACATGTATTTTAAATACACGCAAAGATTGTAGTTGAAGCATTTTATGTATCTGTTATCTGCAAGCAGTCCCAGTTTCGCTCGGATACATTACAAAAAAAGAATAGAAAGAAAATCATTTATTCAAATAAACTTACATTGAAGCACTTTTGAATAGTCATCACATTTTCTTTAATCTGCCGCTCTTTTGGAAAGCTGTCTTATCACAAGAAGAACGAGCAGGAAACTTGCGTGTTGCTCTTTTAAATAAATTTATTGTTACTTTAGATTTTAAGTTGAAGTGTGTGAATACAAATTATTACTATTTGAGTATTTAATTGAATTATTAGTACTAATTCAATTAAATACTCAAATAGTACAGTACACTAGTATACAACCAACTGGTTAAGAAAAAATATTGAATATATAACCAACTGCTTAAACAATTAATAAGGGTAAATCAGTCGTAGAGATTAGAGCAGACCAGTCCCTACAAGCAGCAAACGTTCACGAGTATGGCGGATGAGCCTGCCATCACTGCGCTCGACGATATTTTTGGGAGCCCAATGATGGGGTCAACTTTGAATTTCATAGCTTCTTCTATACTATTAGTCGCATGTATTATACACATAAACCTATCTCTTGGACTTGGATTAGTTTAAATTACAATTTAAAAAAATGTACAAAAATAAATTGTTTAGAAACGATAATTTACTTCAAAGAGTAACTAGTTTACTCAACAAAGAATCAAAAACTATAACAGGTAATTCAGAACCAAAAAAATTTTGTTGCGTCACACAATAAAAACATAAGTTTAAAAAATATTTACTTATCTATAACACACAGCTTTAAATTGAAATGATAATAATTTTAAAAGTGCGAAATAAAGTAATATATTCTACAAACATAACAGTACATCTTTTAAAAGAGATTTTTAACTTGTTATTGATTTTTAGTCAATAACAAGTAAAAAGTATCTGTATCAAAAATTTTACGGCATACATTTAGAATTTCGTGGCACACAAAACTGCACTAAACCTAGGTTTACTGACATAGTAAACCTTTAATTTGGTGCAGTGATTCTTTGGTTCCAAAATGCAACATCTTAATCGGCTTCCAGATGGCCAGAGTTTCGACTTCATTGTGGTGGGTGGTGGCACAGCAGGCTGCGTGCTGGCCAACCGGCTCACAGAGATCTCCAACTGGACCGTGCTCTTAATTGAGGCTGGAGAAGATCCACCAGCAGTTGCCGATGTTAGTAATAAATAATAAACATTTCCATAGCACTGAAGGTTGAAAAAAAAACCTGCCAAAAGAAAATCAATTGATTATTAGACTAGTTAAAATCTAAGTTGTTATTCTGTAATTATTTATATAAAAAAGCATCTATTCAAAAGAGAGCAACACACGTTTCTTGCTCATTCTTCCGGTATTAGAATCAAATAAAATTAGGAGTAGTACAATCAAAAATATGACAATTCAAAAGTGCTTGTATTGAGTTTATTTGAATAAAGATTATTTCTTTATTTCTGAGTAGAAGTTGTATAAAAAAACAACTGATTTATAAGACAACTGATAAAAAAAACAGTCGGTCTATTTCTATTTTATTTTGCCGGGGATTGAAACCGTGACCTTCGGAAGGTAAGGCAATATGCTAAATTGCTAAATAACTTAGGTCGTCAATGCATATGGACATAGAGATAGACGACGTACAAGTAGATCATCCATCTTTTTGTATATCTTACTTTACTTTATAACCACCCACATAACATACAAGCTGTTACCCGCGGCTTGATCTGCACTTTATTATTCGCGATTTCAGTCCCATTGGGATTATTTAGAAATAAAATATAACCTATGTTCGTATACCATTTAGCTTCATATCAAATTTAATTTAGATGCATCCAGATGTTAAGTCCTGAAAATGAAACAAATAGACAGACAGACTTTCTCATTTTTATTATTATGGATTTCTGCCCATTGTACATACGTATATCCTGTGCCTGAGAAACAGTAATATATATAGAAGATAATTTTGTCCATCATTGCCTTACAATTTCTTATTGTATTTATCAGATGCACATTTTTAATATTTAAATGTTCCTCTTTATTTTGCTGTATAATGTAAATAAAAGCATATTCTATTCTATTCTAATCATGAACAAGCTCAATTGAAAAGAATAAAAGCTGGATTTTTTGTCAGTTGTTCTTAGGTCCGACGGTATATGAGGAAATATCATAAGAGTCTATTACATAAATAAAGATATTTTGATTTGATCTCAACTTCCGTTCTTAATTCTTAATTTACAGAGCCCTGGTTGGTCTGCACTGGCTTCTACTGCTCTACCAGACTGGGAGCTCAAAACAGTGGATGACAGCCGAACAAGTCAAGCTCATAAAGAACACAATATACACTTGACATCAGGCAAAATGCTCGGAGGTTCAAGTATCTCCAACTACATGTTCTACGTGAGAGGTAACCCAGCTGATTACGATGACTGGGCCGCACGTGGTAACACTGGCTGGAATTGGGATAATATCACGTATTACTACAAAAAGATGGAACGATTGGAAGATGACATAATACAAAAGAATTCAGCTGCACGCGGACGACTCGGGTACTTGGGTGTAGAGACAATACCATGGGAGCATAGGACTGGTAGCTATTTCGAAATATTTGAAGAGAATGGTCGTAAAATATTAAAGGATCACAACGGTGATGAACAGCTGGGCTACGCACCACCGCAGTTTTCAATCGCTGATGGCATTCGACAGAGTACTGCTGCAGCGTACCTAAAACCAATTAAAAATAGGCCAAACATCTACATCCTCAAAAATACTATTGCGAGAAAGATAAACTTTCATGATAAGAAAGCAAAAAGTGTAGAAGTTAGCCTTCCAGACGATAGTATAATCAATGTCTTAGCGAATAAGGAGATAATTTTATCTGCTGGTGCTATAAATAGTCCTAAAATACTAATGCTATCAGGTATAGGACCGAAAAACCATTTAGAAGAAATGAATATTGATATAGTTCAAGAATCAACAAACGTTGGTCAAAACCTTCAAGATCACGTTTTAGTTCCCGTAGCAATAACTGGGAATAATAACTTCACGTCAATATTACAAAATGCAGAGACATTAATTAATCTAAATAAGTTTCCTATACCTACAATGCTAGGATTTGTCTCCCTGAATAAATCTCAAAATTATCCAGACTACCAAACGACAGTGTGTCCAATACCGATTGCGAGCATCCTAAGCATCACATTGTGTTCTCAAATGTTAGACTTAGATGATAGTATATGTATTGATGTGGCTAATGCCAACAAACGAACTGAACTTCTTTTGGCGTTAATTACGCTACTACATCCAAAATCTAGAGGTGTCATAAAACTAAGAAGCAAAGATCCTGAGGAAAACCCTTCAATATTCACGAAATACTTTTCAAATGAAGAGGATTTGGAAGATTTTGCGACATATATAGAAGATTATGTTACCGTAATAAATACGACTTACTTCAAAAGCGTTAATTCTAAGATACTAGATCTGAATGTAAAGCAATGTAAAGATTTACAATTTGGTAGTAGATTATTTTGGAAATGCTATGTTTTAAATTTGGCTGGAACGCAATATCACGCTGTGGGGACTTGTGCAATGGGTCCGGAAGAAGAAGGGGTAGTGGATGAGAGATTAAGAGTTAGGGGCGTGAAGGGGTTGCGAGTGGTAGACGCTTCGATAATGCCAACAGTTGTTAGTGGTAACACTAACGCACCTGTAATAATGATAGCTGAGAAAGCATCTGATCTGATAAAATTAGATCACGGTATTGTTAATTCAACGTGAAACTTACAATTTCCATGTAATTTAATTTAATTTCATACGTTTAGTAACTAAATAAACGAAATAATATTAATCACGTAAGGTCCCTAAGAACAATTTATAATGTCTGTGGACAATCAGATTGTAACCTATGGTGTTTAGGACAAAGATAAAACTTTCAATTCAATATTTTATGAAACCGAACGTCGCTGTACTTTACAGCTTCACCGAACGATAAGGGCGAGTGCAGATGGGAGTCTAAACACGCGGTAGGAGAGGAGCGGAAGGCCAGCCTCTGCTTGACGAATACATCTAACGGGAATTTCCCCCAAGCACTTAAGTAGGTAACACACAATATATAGACTAAATGACACTATTACTCAACATTTTCGTATGAACAGGATAATTAATTTGTAAGATTTGTGTAAATAAAATATGTTTTTAAAGGATGGATATAAGCATAACGTCATAAGAATAGTTAGACCAGTGTTTCCCAAACTTTTTTTGCCATGTTCCATATTAAATATTTCTAAAATTATCATTCTTTAAAAATTTGCTTTTTTATTAAAATTGGCGCCGAAATCTAGTATTGCATTTAAATGGCGCAGAGCGAAAGTGTTAAACTTGCGTCGAGTCCATTTTCGAATTGCCCCTCTTAAAAATCAAATTGCCCCCCTATGGATCGTTGGGAAACATTGAATTAGACCATCATGGGAATAAATCTAATATTAATAATAACTACTTGTCGAGGTATTTTTCGATGTACTACAGAATGGGGTTTTTCAAGTACCCTACTTGAAAAACCCCATTCTGATATTGAGGTTGTACCCCCGGTATTTCAGACGTCAATAGGCTACGTTAACCGTTTACCATCAGATGTATGCGTTATGCCAATATCATAGATTAAGATAAAATATATCTCGGGACAAATAACACAGCGCCATCTAGTCCTAAACTAAGCAGAGCTCGTGTTTTGTATTCTAGACAACTCATATAAATACACGTACATTATCTTTGTAAATACATAAATAATATATATAGAAAACACACCAGCCGATACAAACAATCATACTCATGGATATAAATGTTTCTAACGTGTGAGGAATCGAACCTGCGACCACCGGTAGTAAAGTGGTGTGCTAAACCTCTAAACCACCGATATTGAAACTCAATTATTGTTAAATTCGACACAATACTTTATTGTTAAGTATTAGCAAATAAATAAAATAAATCAATATAATACATTGATTTATTTTCACAATATTATTGTGACGGTATGGACCGTCGCGCAATTATATTCTTAAGTGGCAATCCATGATAAATGGCAGTGATATTGATAACGTTTATTTTTTATAACTAAAGATTCATAGGAAATAAGGAATTATAAACTTCGTACAAAAAAAATCTAGAAATCTCTTTATATATTAGGATGGTACGAGTAGTGATAAAAATATGACAAGCAGAAGAGGACCGAAGGTGAAATATGGGACACGGTTACGTATAATATTAACTCCAATGGAATCGATTGACTTAACATTTAATCAACAATTATAAGATGAATTGTAATTTTGCAGGCCCCTGAATATGAAGCAAACACATGTAAAAACTACAATGTAAATGTGCAAGCAAATAAATTGTCTATCTGTTAATAATGGCAGAAACACAAAACTAAACATTGTCTACTAAGCACTGCACAAACCGTGTCACCTTCCTTACTATCACCTTATCACATATAACTATTGTTATTTATTATACGTATATGATTAATATTATATGTACATTTTGCTAGTTCATTCTCATTTGTTAATATACATCGTCTCAGTCTACAACGTCGTATTACTATTCCACAACATTAATAATTTGGAGTTTGAGTTTCGTGAGTTTACATTTCAATTTTAGTACATATGAAAATGTCGCTCAACGAGCTATGGAAAGGGCTATGCTTGGAGTTTCTCTGAGGGATCAAATCCGAAACGAAGTAATTCGCCAGAGAACTAGGGTCACCGACATAGCTCTTCGTATTTGCAAGTTGAAGTGGCAGTGGGCTGGTCATATCTGTCGCAGAACCGATGCTCGCTGGAGTAGGCGTGTTCTAGAGTGGAGACCGCGAATTGGCAAACGTAGTGTAGGACGCCCCGCAGCTAGGTGGAGCGATGACATACGTAGGGTTAAAAATGGAAGAGAAGGGCTGAAGATCGTGCCCAGTGGCGTGCCTTAGGAGAGACCTATGTCCAGCAGTGGACTGCAGTGGGCTGATGATGATGATGATGAAAATATGACCTGTGACAGAGCGGAAGAGGGGATGAGGGGGTAGTTAAAATTACTGAAATTATTGTAAGGACGAAGTTATTTTCCTTTCAAATAATGCTATAGTTAGTACTTGGTAAATGACAATATTAGGGCTCTTGCAGGATTACAAGGAAATGAAAAGGCTGATATTTCTTATAATAAGCTACTATACTATAAGCTTGTAGCTCACCTGATGGTAAGTGTTTACCGCTGCCCATGAGCACCCGCAACGCCAGGCGTTGCCAGCCTTTTAAGAAGGAATAAGCTCTTTTCTTAAAGGATTCAATATCGTATCGTCGAATACACTCTTACTGACGGTAGATTTGACATATTATAAGAGTCCTACTTACTTACTAGACCTACTTGAATAAGGATATTTTGAGTTTAGATCGGTTCGGAAATACCATTGCTGAAAGGTGATCCCATAATGTGGATGTAGCAGTTTAGACCGCCATCCATCCACATGATCAGGACATTTTATTATAGAAAACCTGCTCTGAAGGACTAATTACAAAAAATAAAGAGTAAAAAAATGACAGATACCCAAATTCAAATTCAAAAATCATTTATTCATGTAGGATAATTTAGTCGCTTGTTAAGGGGTCTTCCTATGTGACGGCCTGTTTTTTAGGGATATTTTAGGATTTTTTTTCTACGACCAGTAAATATTTAGAGCTTCAAGTTTTTTATCATTTATTAACACATATTTGGACAGTATAAATATAAAATTTCAGCTAAAAATATTCAGTCAAACTAGAGTTACAGCGCTCTGAACACCCCCGCCTCGAAAAAAAGAGCTCCCACTTCCTCCACGATTCCGGCTGATCGGCTTATCTGAAAAAAAAAAAAAACGGCGTTTTAATTTGTAGGCTTAAAAGCACGGAATGACCTATAATCAAATGAATATAAAAAAAATTAGATTTTTGATAGACATTTGAAATAAAAGTTGCAAATTAGGCGTTTTTTTTTTTTTGTTTTTTGCTATAAAAAAATCGAAGTTTTGCGTTTACATATATTGAGTGTGCCCTGTAAATTTCAAGTAATTCGGTCCAGCCGTTTCTGAGATACAATGGAGGAAAGTTTGAAAAACACAGTTTTGAGAAAAACGCGTTTAAAGTTTCAAGTCCGTTAAAAACTATTAAAATATCAACTTACTCTCAATCGGCGATGCCTGGTCCATAGAGTATTCCTTCCTCTTCCTCGTGAAACTCTTTTAAAGCAGATTGTTCAGCTCTTGAGTCAATCCTGGCTTGTTTAACGACATCACTTACGCGCCGCTCAGAGCGTAAGATTCGCTTTTCATCCCGTTTCTCAACATACGCTTGGGCTTCACGACCAACAGGGCATCCCATAATCGACATAACTTTTAAAATACCTTGAAAACCTTCATTAAAGATAATAACTGCTAAGTAGCTAGCAATTTCAACAACTTTGGGACCAGAATGAAGATGTTTAGGAGCGAAAGTCCAAATCAAAGAATTCAAAGATTCGTTATTGTTTTGTGTCTCTGCTCCTAAACAACGAATTAATAATTCGTCTTTCGATAAATCTTCGAAAACCGGTTTGATAGCTTCTTGGACTTGCGGAATTAGAGGTGGTTTATCGTGATGAAATTGGTCCAGTTCATTATTAGCTTCAGCCTTACGCCATTTACACCAACTGTCTTCGCCTTCTGGACAAAATTGATGCTGAGGGTTTTCATCAGAAGAACATTTGTGATAGTATGTTGCCCAAACTTCCTTTCTCATATCTTCAAGCGAATCTGGATGGCGTCGAATTGCTAATCCGTAGAATTTTGTAATTTCTTGGATAACTTTATCAGTAAGTTTACCTGCTCCTTTTCCTCCTATTCCTTTATTGGTTTTATCCTTTTTAACAGCCCGAAGTCGTGTTCCCATCCTCTTTTCTACGTGACCCACACATTCTTTTTTTAACGGTACACAATAGGCCCGGTCTCTAACTGCCAACTCACCGCTCCGAACCGCTCTTTCTTTTACCTGCTGTATCTTTAAAACGACTTCGAATTTTCTAAAATCGCTTTACTACCGTATTCTAGACATGTTAAGGGAGCAATTTATGAAAAAAAAAAATCGATTTTTTCAACCCATCACATAGGAAGACCCCCTTAACGTAAAATTTTTTAGGTATATTATAATTTTCTTGCTACCGTATACCTACCCTACAATATACTTACAACATTATAGTTTCAATACAAATGTTAACTCTTTACATGCATTGATCTTTAACCTCATATCTCCGGGCCATTGTCGCTCAGTTTCTTGATTCTTATCTTGAGAGTAAATCAGAACTGACTGTAAGTGTATAGACCCTCCAGATAGGAGCTATTTTTAATGCATGATAATAATGTGATACAGTGGTGCAGGCGTCTGCGCTAACGATATACCCTGGCTGGGCACCAGTGGAGGATGATAGGATGAGAACGAAGGCAGGTCAGCAGTTTTTTTTTTATTCCTTTATGTACACAACTGCAAATGACTAAAAATGTTTACAGAAAGTTGGAGGGGCTGGGAACTGGCTTTCGTGGCACAGGTTCACCTATATCGAAAGCAAGGGCTAACTATATTTAATTGTATCGTGCATTTATGAATAGTTTATTATTATTCCTAACTTCCAAAAAAAATATTATTATTATTTGTGTGTTTCGCTTTCTCAGCCTTTTTGCTGGGGTTTTACGCTTTGTGGCGTATACCACTTACGGGCCAAAACCAAGTAAGTGCAGTGTGTG